ACACCCATTTTTGATAAAAGCTCTCAGCAAGGTGGGAGTAGAAGGATCATACCTCAGCATAATAAAAGCCATATATGACAGGCCCACAGCCAACATCATACTCAATGGACAAAAACTAACACCATTTCCCCTAAGAACAGGAACAAGACAGGGATGCCCCCTCTCACCACTCCTGTTCAACATAGTACTGGAAGTGTTAGCCATTGCAATTCGGCAAGAAGAAGAAATAAAAGGCATCCAACTTGGAAAAGAGGAAGTAAAACTGTCCTTATTTGCAGACGACATGATATTATACATACAAAACCCTAGAGACTCCATCAAAAAGCTACTGGACTTAATACATGAATTTGGCAATGTAGCAGGATACAAAATTAACCCCAAGAAATCCGAGGCATTTCTATACACCAATAGTGAACTTTCAGAAAGAGAGATTATAAAAACAATCCCGTTTACCATCGCACCAAAAAAATTAAGCTACCTAGGAATAAACTTAACTAAAGAGGTAAAAGACCTCTACTCAGAAAACTACAGGACGTTGAAAAAAGATATAGAGGAAGACATAAACAGATGGAAGAACATACCGTGTTCATGGATTGGTAGAATCAACATCATTAAAATGTCCATACTACCCAAAGCAATCTATAAATTCAACGCACTTCCCATTAAAATACCAACGGCATACTTCAGAGATCTAGAACGAACTCTCCAAAAATTCATCTGGAATAAAAAAAGACCCCGAATAGCTGCAGCAATCCTGAAAAAGACCAAAGTAGGTGGGATCTCAATACCAGATATCAAGTTGTATTACAAAGCCACTGTTCTCAAAACTGCCTGGTACTGGCACAAGAATAGGCATATAGATCAATGGAATAGAATAGAGAACCCAGAAATCAGCCCAAACCAATATGCTCAATTAATATTTGACAAAGGAGGCAAGAACATACAATGGAGCCAAGATAGTCTCTTCAATAAATGGTGTTGGGAAAATTGGACAGATATATGCAAGAAAATGAAACTAGACCACCAACTTACACCATACACAAAAATAAACTCAAAATGGATAAAGGACTTAAATGTACGACAGGAAACCATAAAAATTCTAGAAGAATCCAAAGGCAACAAAATCTCAGACATATGCCGAAGCAATTTCTTCACTGATACAGCTCCTAGGGCACTTGAAACGAAAGAGAAAATGAACAAATGGGACTACATCAAAATAAAAAGCTTCTGCACAGCAAAAGAAACCATCAACAAAACAACGAGAAAACCCACTGTGTGGGAAAACATATTTGCCAATGTCATATCTGATAAGGGCCTAATCTCCAAAATTTATAGGTAACTCATACAACTTAACAAAAGGAAGATAAACAATCCAATCAAAAAATGGGCAAAGGACCTAAATAGACACCTTTCAAAAGAGGACATTCAGAAAGCCAAGAGACATATGAAAACATGCTCAAAGTCACTAATCATCCGAGAGATGCAAATCAAAACAACAATGAGGTATCATCTCACACCTGTCAGACTGGCTATCATCAACAAATCAACAAATGACAAGTGCTGGAGAGGATGTGGAGAAAAAGGAACACTTGTGCACTGCTGGTGGGAATGCAGACTGGTGCAGCCACTATGGAAGACAGTATGGAGTTTCCTTAAAAAACTGAAAATGGAACTCCCATTTGACCCTGTGATCCCACTTCTAGGAATATATCCCAAGAAAACAGAAACACCAATCAGAAAGGATATATGCACCCCTATGTTCATAGCAGCACAATTCACCATAGCTAAGATCTGGAAACAGCCTAAGTGCCCATCAGTAGATGAATGGATTAGAAAACTGTGGTACATCTACACGATGGAATACTATGCTGCTCTTAAAAGGAAGGAACTCTTACCATTTGCAACATCATGGATGGAACTGGAGAGCATTATGCTAAGTGAAATAAGCCAGTCAATGAAGGAAAAATACCACATGATCTCACTCATTCATGGATAATAGAGACCATTATAAACTTTTGAACAATAATAGATACAGAGGCAGAGCTGCCTCAAACAGATTGTCAAACTGCAGCAGGAAGGCCGGGGAGGGTTGGGGGGCAGGAGGTAGGGGGGTAAGAGATCAACTAAAGGACTTGTATGCATGCATATAAGCATAACCAGTGGACATAAGACATTGGGGGATAGGGGAGGCTAGGGGACTGTCTAGGGCGGGGGGATAAAATGGACACATATGTAATACCCTTTGTAATACTTTAAGCAATTAAAAAAAAAATAAAAAAATAATTCTACCACTAGAAGGAAAGAGAAAAAAAAAAAAAAAAAAGGCAAGTGAAGCCTGCAAGTCTGGTTTACACCCAGGAGGTTGTGCCTCTAGAGCCACGTTGGCTACCAATGTGCTTTATTCTCTTAGGCCAGTCACTTCCCATCTCTGGAGGGCCAGGTGGGAGCAGAGAATCCTGCTCTCCACACAGGTATGGTCCCTGCTGCCACATGAGAGTAGAGGTCCATTTCCAGGTGGCCAGGCAGCCAGCACCAGCTCTTCCCTAGCCATGACTCCCAACAGGTTCAAGAAGTCTTTCCACCAGGGAACAGAACTTGCCTCCAATACTGGGCTCCACCGATCCCCTCTGCTGTCATGGCAGGCACCTCCCAAGGTAGGTCTTAGGGCACATGTCCTCAGGCCAGGGTGCAGTTTCCCAGGGTCTCCATTCCTAGTTTATGTGCCCAGATTTGCCTTGCATACTGCCCAGAGGTCCTGCCCACTCTGCATCTGTTCACAGAAACAGAGACCAGGTTCAGGTATGGGACCATTACACAGCCCTGCCCAGCCACCCCTCTGGAGCTAGGAGAGGGTAGGCAGCTGGGCCATCTGCATCAGTCCCCAGATTCAAGGATTACTCATCCATTTACAGACTGATGACCTGGCTTTAGGACATTTTGGTGAATGGCCCTAGGTATCCTGGAACTGTGTTTAATCTCTTAATATCTGCCACTAAGTGCTAGACTACATTGCCATGGTGACCTGGGAGTAACAGGGAGAAGGCAACGAAGGGTCCAAGAGGAGTCATGAAGCTCTTAGGAAGAGTAGAGGGCAGGGCCAGGTCTCCAGCACCTAGCACAGCACTAGGCAGAAAACCAGGGCTCTTTGAGGTTCTCTCTAAGCCCTAGCTTCCTTCCTCCCAACCCACCACCACACTCACACCACCCAGTAATGCTCTGCCCAGGCTCCTGCCACATGGTCCCTGGTCACATCCCTGCATCCTTGAAGCTCCATTTGCCTACCAGTAAGAGCCTCTCTAAGGGCAGCGAGATAGATATGAAGGGTCTTGGGATACAGACCCCAAGTAGGGCCTAGGGCAGTGATGGCAAGCCTATGACACGCGTATCAGAGGTGACATGTGAACTCACTTTTTGGGTTGATTTTTCTTTGTTAAATGGCATTTAAATATATAAAATAAATATTAAAAATATACATCTTTGTTTTACTATGGTTGCAAATATAAGAAAATTTCTATATGTGACACGGCACCAGAGTTAAGTTAGGGTTTTTCAAAATGCTGACACGCCGAGCTGAAAAGGCCATCACTAGCCTAGGGCCTAAGTGATCTGGCGCCAGCTTGGATGAGCCTCAGTTTCCTCATATTCCAAAAGGCTGAAGAAGCCTATGTCTCAGAGCACTACCTTGGACTCAGAGGCCCTGAGGCAAGTCCCGGCTCTGCCCTTTATCACTCATGACCTTGCCCAAGCCTCTTAGCTGAGGGCCCTATGGTCTCTGGCTCAGAGGAGCCCAAGACCCTCGAGACTCCTGCTAATCCCACTTCGATCCATTCTCACAGGGCCTTTCGTGCCTGAACTGCATGTCTGAGGTCACTGTGCTCTTTTTGGTGTCCCCTATTCTTGGCCACAGAGTCCTTTGCAGGGAAGATGTGATCCTCCACTATCAGACCCTTGCCTCAGAGTCCTCTTTCAACCCTGCTCTCCCTCAGGCACCTCTATTCATCCCCAGTTCAAACCAACAAATGCCCCCCACCCCAGCACTTTATACTGATAGTCTGTGCACTATGCTAGCCCTCATTAGCCTTTGTGAGCACCAGTTGTGGCACCTCAGAGGACAAGGTCTGTGTCTGTGCCTCCTCTAGAGAACCTAGCCCAGCATAGTGCCTGGAACAGGGGCTTTCAAAAATTGTTCTGGAACAGTGACATCATCCTTTCTTGTCCAATAATGGCAAGTACAACCCTTACAAGATCCCTCATTTTTAGCTCCAACTTACAGATGAGCAAACTGAGCCATGAAGTGAAATGACTTTTTAAGGACACCAAACAGTGAAGGGTGGATCCAGGAGACCTGCGCCTAGGGGCTGTGGAGAGTGGCCCTCTCCAGGTAACTTTCTTCTCTGACATTCTAGAAATGACGATGTAGTAAGAAGTTGATTGCAGAGACCTAAGACAGCCCAGTAAGCTCCACCACCACCACCACCACCTGTCTCCACCCTACATCACCCAGCCCTGCCCCGAAAGCCTTAGAGAGTCTCTGGCCCTCAGATCTCACCTGCTTGCTCTAGGCCTGGTGGAGAGCCTGAGAAGGAAAACCATTGCAGGGGCCCAGAGCAGCCTTCCTTGTGCAGAATGAGGGTCCTGGGACAGGAGCAAAAGGCCACAAAGCAAGGCAGAAGCCCACTCCTCCAAGACCCCCAGCCAGCTCCTCCCATCTACAGGGGTCCCATCCAGAGTAGGATCCAAACCCAGGGCCCTTTCTAGGGCTCAGAGGCACAGCTTGGGGGCAGGAAACAGCCAGCAGCAGGTCCTGCACCCATCATAGCATGCAACCTAAATGAGTCGCCTGACTCTTATTCCCTGGCCTTGGCTGCACTGGTGGGTCTTGAGTGAGCCCTTGAACTCCAAGCTTTTGCACAACAGGCATAGAAGTAGATATCCTCATGGGGTGGGTATGGTATAGTGAGGGCATGTGTGTGCTGATGTTTGAGCAGGAAGTGCAGCTCTTAGAAGCAGCTTTCACACTGCTTGAACTGGTGAGGCTTCTCCCCACTGTGGATAAGCTGGTGCGTGAGTAGGTTCTGCTTGAGGTTGAAGCAGCACCTGCACGCAGGGCAGGGGAAGAGCCACTGGCCCATGTGGTGAGCTGATACCTCAAGGTGTGCTTGACTCTGAAAGACCTCATTACACTTGTGAAACAGGAAGGCAGCCAAGCAGCAGACCTCTGTGTGAGTCACCTGGTGTGGCACCAGGCTGGGCTGTTGCAAGAAGGTCTGGCCACACAGCGGACAGTGGTAGGGTTGCTCCTCTGCAGGGTTGTAGATGACCAGGACTCTCCTGTCACTCTGACCCTCTTCCCTGTCCCCTGTAGGGTACCTGTTCCTGGAGGAGATCAGATTGGTCATTGCCCAGTAGGAAAGGCTAGCACACAGTGGGTTGCTGAGCATGGCCAGAGAGTCCCAGAGCCACAGGTACTTTAGGCTCCACAGCCTGGCCAGACAGGTACTGGGGGAGTCCTGGTTGAACTGGAGCAGAAGCCAAGCAAGAGTTAGAGAGCCAGAGATCCCACTAATGTTGTTAGATTGGACAAGGTCTCAAGGTCTGGGTAATCCTAAATAATTGCTTTTCTTCCTAAATGTTAAAATGTAGCACAGTATTTCTGTGGCTGGTGTGGCTCAGAAGGCTGGAGCATTGGCCCTTGCAGCAAAAGGTGGCTGCTTGACTCCAGGTCAGGTTTGATCCCCAATTGGGTGCATTCAGGAAGCAACCATTTTATGTTTCATCAACGTTTCTCTCCTCTCTCTCTCTCTCTCTCTCTCCCTCCATCCCTCTCCCTTTCTTTCTCTAAAATTAAAAAAAAAGTTTTTTGCAGACCAGCTATACTAGTAAATAGGGTGAGCTTGATAAGAACTCCATGGGATAAGTGTAGCAAACTTCAAAGAAGAAACCAATGTGTAATTGACCAAGTAGTATATATAAGCAATGGTTAAACCTCCCTTTGGGGAGACAGAGTTTTGGATGTGAATCCCTTGCATCCTTAACTTGCTGCAAGTAAATAAAACTAACTCGTGAAAACCAATTCTCACCTTTCATTCTTAAATAGAACACCCCAAGTGGTAAACCCCTTGAGTTTGGTAACAATGTGATCCCCATAGATCAGCCTTTGTGGATCTATAGTGGCAAATTAAAAATATTTGGCATAGAAGAGGTTTTTAAATTATAGTCATGGATACTATAAATTAGGATGGTGCCTTAAAAAGAAAAAAAACAACAGATAAAAATAAGAGAATGTAGCCACTTTGGACCTCCATGGACAATAGAACTATCTTGCTGGATAAGCCTGCTGTTTCACTAACAAAGTGCTCAGAGACATGAACTAAAATAATGCACTTCACCAGTGGTGCTAACAGTTGGCACATGCAGGATTTCTCATTTGAATTTTCCTAAATTGAGCTTGTGAGTTCTACATATATTTTTGCTTGATAATGCTAAATTTGTAATTTCTTAAGATTTTGGCATTGTAGGGATGGGTGGCAAATGAGCTGGGAAGATACTTCTGGTTAGCTATCACTGCATAACAAACCATCCCAAGGCTTACTGGTTGTAAACAACAACAATCATTTATTTTTCTCATTAATCTGTAATCTGAGCAGGATGTCGTGGGAATGATTCATCTTTGCTCTTTGCAGCTTCACCTGAGGTGGCTCAGTTGGCAGCTGGAGAATCTGCTTTCATGTTCCCTCACTTGCATGGATGGCAAGTGGTTCTGCTGCCAGATGAAAGACCAGCCAGGGGAGTGAGCCAGTGACGTCAAGTCCTCTTCACATGACCTCACATTGGGCTACTTGTGCTTCCTCACAACATGGTGGCCAAGTTCCAAGGGCAGGTATCCCAGAGAGCAAGGAGAAATTTTTCCTATTTATCAAGGCAATCACAAAGTCCATCGAATTTAAAGTAGGGGACACAGACCCTTTCAGTTAACAAAGGAAAAACAATCTCAGATTAACAAGAAGAATAGGTGGGGTGCAAAATATTGTTATAGCCATCTTTAGAAAATACAATCGATCACATTTACAAATCATAGTAAATTATGAAACAAAATTATAATTTATATTATTTCTAAAACATAATTCATGTTTTGGAAATAATCCCAAAAATTACATTTGTAAATATATTGCTTTCAGATTCTTCCCTAATATTTTTAATTTGTTCATTATATTTTATGTTCAGGAATTTTAGTTTTTCCAACTTTTCTTTTTTTATATATATTTTATTGATTTTTTACAGAGAGGAAGGGATAGGGATAGAGAGTCAGAAACATCGATGAGGGAGAAACATCGATTAGCTGCCTTTTGCACACCCCCTACTGTGCATGTGCCCGCAAACAAGGTACATGCCTTTGACTGGAATCGAACCCAGGACCCTTTAGTCCTCAGGCTGACGCTCTATCCACTGAGCCAAACTGATCAGGGCATTTTCCAACTTTTCTTGCTGTGATATTTCTTCCTGAGAATATTGGTTTTGTATTAGTTTAATTTCCTTTTTTAATTGGTCAGCATAGATTATCTGTAAGATCTCTTCTTTACACTTCAGCTTTTCCCCTATGTCCTTGTAGTTGGCATCAATCAGAAAAGTGAACCCCTCTGTTCTTCCCCACTACTTTCTCTGTCTGTACTTGAGCATCCCTCTCAGCCTTATTTGCACTTCTGCTGTTATTGAAGACACAGAGGCGGTTCCCACACTCTTTGATGATGTTTTGTAGGTCTACATCTAACCCTGCTAAACAGTCACTCAGTGTCTCATTATCCAAATTATCTTTGCAAGTGAACAAGATGATAATGTGCTTCATGGCCAGCTCCCCAAAGATGGCCTTGATCAATGCAACCATTTTCTGTTCCTCCTTCATGTAGTGGCCCAGCTGTAGAACCAGGATGATGGCGTGAAGCCCAGGGCAGGAGGTGAGGACACGCCGGCTGATTTCCTCACAAGAGGTCTGCAGTGTTTCTTTGGTGTAAAAGAGCCCTGGGGTGCCCATGAGAAGAAGGTTCCTTCCCTTCCAGCCCTGTGAGGCTCTTTGACAGTTCTTGGTAACAGTGTGAGGAGAAACTTTGGAATCAAATTCTCTTCTCCTAAGGATGGTGTTTGCTATTGCACTTTTTCCCACCAGAACAATCCTCAGAGTGTTGTCCTGAAGGCCATCCATGTTTTTTTCATGAGGCTCTGGGGCTCAGGCATCCACAAGACCTTAAGAAAGGGAAGAGGGGAGAGAAAAGGTCAAGTTAACTAAGTAGTGACCATTCCCACCCCTCTTTTCTTGAATCTTTTCCTTCCTGAAAATTTGTAATGGTCTATTACTCATACTGATCCCAGAAAGAGCAGAGAGATGATACAGTTCAATTACTAAGGAAGATATAATAAAATAGAGTTTTCCCACACAAGAATACAAGGTCCAAGTGCTTTCACAGGGAAACACAATTACAGATCTGATCATCTCAATGCTATGTGAGCTATTCCTGATCATATAAAAAAGAGGAAAATCTTTTAATTCTTATTTGAATCAAATGTAATATTTATCCCAAAGGCTAACAGAGATTTCACCAATAAATAAAGCTATAGATGTGGCTAATTTGAAAATATTAATACAAAAATCCTAAATAAATTATTAGACACTAAAAAAATAATATACCAGGATTATGTAATTTATGTTAGAAATACTAGGATGGTTCAATATGAGAAAATTGGTTGTTACAACACATCCCATTCATGAAGAGGAAAATTACCGAGATGAAGAAAAGACATTTGATTAAAGTGAATTCTGACTCATGTTTAAAGCATTTCATAAAATTGGAATGAAAAGATACTTCTCTAACATATCCAGTGTCACTGGGCATCCAAGGAGCTCCCGGAGTAAAAAAGTGGATGCTTTTTCACATTGGGTTATCTGCTTTTTTTGTTATAAGCAATTTAATTTTTCTTGCCATTTTTATTAACTTGTGTATTACTCATGAACGGTGAGCATTTTCAGGTGACTTCTACCATCAGCTTTTTTTTTTTTTTTTTTTTTCAGACTCACCATCTCTGTTTATGTTTGTAAGATACTTGATTTGGTTTTTTTTTTCTTTCTTTTTTATTAAATGTATTGGGGTGACATTGGTTAATATGATCATATAGGTTTCAGATGTGAGTTTCTATGTTACAAGATCTGTATACTGCACTGTGTGCCCACCACCAAAATCAAATCATCTTCCTTCACCATATAATAGGTCCTCTTCACTCCCCACCCCACCACACCTCAACTTGATATGCTTTTCACTTACTTTCAATTTTTATTTCTTTTCCTAGTTTTGGACAGGTGAAAGTCCACGGCCAGCGTGGCTTTCGGGGTTCAAAGGTTTGGAGGAAGAGCTGAGCACAAATTAACACACAAGATGAAATATTAATTATGATACCAGGGGAAACCAGAGGAAAACTAGACCATGCAGTCCAGGTCTCTGCTGAGTCTCTTTCCCAGCTACTTTTATTTACTAGAATTAATAAATAATTAATTTTTTAATTAATTATCAAATAATTAACAATTGCCTTTTAGGAATGCAAACAGATATATCAATAATAATGTTAGGAAACAGTAAGATTGTCGGGTTTGGGGGGAGTTTGCTTTAGGCCATTGAGTTAGCAGTAAGTAATAAAATGTCAATATTCACCCTGTGAATATCAAAAGGAGCACTGGCTAGCCTTCTGCCAGACTCCTCACATTTATATTAATTACTGTTGATCTTGGTTTCAAGCATTTCCCCCGTATTTAATTTTTTAATAGAGGTTGATATGTCGCTTGCAGAGTTTCAATTCTTTTAAGATTTTTATTCCACATCTGCAAACTAAAATTAAACAAATAAGAACAAGATGAGACAGGTAATAGTGGTTATGCTAAAAGGCAAAAGTAAAGAAGTAAATTCTTTCTTTAAATTGCTGCCAGGCATCTAAAGTAAGTTTACCTGAGAAAATTATGCAATATACTGCTGTAATTCCAAAATATCAAGGGTGGTGTTATTTTTACTTTAAGCACCAAGAAGGTGATTTTTCTTTTCTTTTTTAATTTTGTTTTATTGCTTAAAGTATTAGAAAGAGTATTACATATGTCTCCTTCCCCCCCCCCTTGACATTCCCTCGGCCTCCCCTAACCCCCAGTATCTTATGTCCATTCCTTATGCTTATACTCACACATACAAGTCCTTTGGTTGATCTCTTAATGCCCCTCCCGCCCCCCCCAACACTCCCCAGCCTTCCCGCTGTAGTTTGATAGTCTGTTCGATGCTGCTCTGCCTCTGTATCTATTTTTCATCATCAGTTTATAATGGTCTTTATTATGCATAAATGAGTGAGATCATGTGGTATTTTTCTTTCATTGACTGGCTTCTCTTAGCATAATGCTCTCCAGTTCCATCCATGCTGTTGCAAATGGTAAGAATTCCTTCTTTTTTACAGCAGCATAGTATTCCATTGTGTAGATGTACCACAGTTTTCTAATGCATTCATCTGCAGATGGGCACTTAGACTGTTTCCAGATCTTAGCTATGGTAAATTGTGCTGCTATGAACATAGGGGTGCATATATCCTTTCTTATTGGTGTTTCTGGTTCTTGGGATATATTCCTAGAAGTGGGATCACTAGGTCAAATGGGAGTTCCATTTTTAACTTTTTGAGGAAACTCCATACTGTCTTTCATAGTGGCTGCACCAGTCTGCATTCCAATCAGCAGTGCATGAGTGTTCCCAATGCTCCAGCACTTGTCGTTTGTTGATTTGTTGATGATAGCCATTCTGCCAGGTATGAGATGATACGTCATTGTTGTTTTGATTTGCATCTCTCAGATGATTAGTGACTTTGGGCATGTTTTCATATGTCTCTTGGCTTTCTGAATGTCCTCTTTTGAAAAGTGTCTATTTAGGTCCTTTGCCCATTTTTTGATTGAATTGTTTATCTTCCTTTTGTTAAGTTGCATGAGTTCCCTATAAATGTTGGAGATTAAACCCTTATCAGATATAACATGGGCAAATATGTTCTCCCATGCAGTGGGCTTTATTATTGTTTTGTTGATGGTTTCTTTTGCTGTGCAGAAGCTTTTTCTTTTTATGTAGTCCCATTTGCTAATTTTCTCTTTAGTTTCAAGTGCCCTAGGAGCTGTATCAGTGAAGAAATTGCTTTGGCATATGTCTGATATTTTATTGCCTTTGGATTCATCTAGTATTTTTATGGTTTCTTGTCTTACATTTAAGTCCTTTATCCATTTTGAGTTTATTTTTGTGTATGGTGTAAGTTGGTAGTCTAGTTTCATTTTTTGCATGTATCTGTCCCATTTTCCCAACAGCTTTTATTGAAGAGACTGTCTCCATTGTATGTTCTTGCCTCTTTTGTCAAATATTAATTGAGCATATTAGTTCGAGTTGATTTCTGGATTCTCTATTCTAATATGGTGATCTATATGTCTGTTTTTGTGCCAGTACCAGGCAGTTTTAAGAACAGTGGCTTTGTAACACAGCTTGATATCAGGTATTGAGATCCCACCTACTTTGTTCATCTTTCTCAGGATTGCTGCAGCTATTCGGGGACTTTTTTTATTCCAGATGAATTTTTGGAGAGTTTGTTCTAGGTCTGTGAAATATGCTATTGGTATTTTAATGGGAAGTGCGTTGAATTTATAGATTGCTTTGGGTAGTATGGACATTTTAATGATGTTGATTCTACCAATCCATGAACAAGGTATGTTCTTCCATCTGTTTACGTCTTCCTCTATCTCTTTTTTCAATGTCCTGTAGTTTTCTGAATAGAGATCTTTTACCTCTTTAGTTAGGTTTATTCTTAGGTATCTTAAATTTTTTGGTGTGATGATAAATGAAATTGCTTTTTTAATTTCTCTTTCTGTAAGTTCATTATTGGTGTATAGAAATGCCATATATTTATTGATGCTGATTTCGTATCCTGCTACATTGCCGAATTCATTTATTAAGTCTAATAGTTTTTTGATGGAGTCTTTAGGGTTTTTATGTACAATATTATTTCATTTGCGAATAAGGACAGTTTTACTTCTTCTTTTCCAATTTGGATGCCTTTTATTTCTTCTTCTTGTCTGATCGCTATGGCTAGTACTTCCAGTAGTATGTCGAACAGGAGTGGTGAGAGTGAGCATCCTTGTCTTGTTCCTGTTCTTAAGGGAAATGGTTTTAGTTTTTGCCCATTGAGTGTGATGTTGACTGTGGGTTTGTCATATATGGCTTTTATTATGTTGAGGCATGATCCTTCTATTCCCACCTTTCTGAGAGTTTATACCAAAAATGGGAGTTGGATTTTGTCAAATGCTTTTTCTGCATCAATTGATATGACTATGTGGTTTTTCTCTCTCAATTTGTTTATGTGATGTATCACGTTTATTGATTTTCAGATAGTGTACCATCCTTGCATCCATGGGATAAATCCTACTTGGTCATGGTGTATGATCTTTCTCATGTACTGCTTGTTCTGATTTGCTAATATTTTGTTGAGGATTTTGGCATCTATGTTCATGAGGGATATTGGCCTGTAATTCTCTTTCATTGTGTTGTCTTTATCTGGTTTTGGTATTAGGTTGATGCTGGCTTCATAGAATGAGCTTGGAAGTGCTCCTTCCTCTTGAATTTTTTGTAGTAGTCTGAGGAGAATAGGTTTTAGTTATTCCTTGAATGTTTGGTAAAACTTCTCTGTGAAGCCATCTGGCCCTGGGCTTTTGTTTGCTGGAAGCTTTTGGATGACTGCTTCAATTTCTTCCACAGTTATTGGCCTATTGATATTTTTAGATTCTTCATGATTGAGTTTGGGAAGGTTATTTTTTCCAGGAATATGTCCATTTCCTCCAGGTTGTCTAGTTTGTTGGAGTATAATTGTTCATAGTATTTTTTAACAATCATTTGTATTTCTGTGGGGTTTGTTGTTGTTTCACCTCTATCATTTCTTTTTTTTTAAAATATATTTTCTTGATTTTTTACAGAGAGGAAGGGAGAGAGATAGAGAGTTAGAAACATTGATGAGAGAGAAACATCGATCAGCTGCCTCCTGCACATCTCCAATTGGGGATATGCCCGCAACCCAGGTACATGCCCTTGACCGGAATTGAACCTGGGACCTTTCAGTCTGCAGGCCGACGCTCTACCCACTGAGCCAAACTGGTTTCGGCACCTTTATCATTTCTGATTTTGTTTATTT